GCCCTGACAGAAATATAGTCGAAGAGATGCGTACTCAAAATTCGCTACGTCACTAGGATTCTAGTCAAGCGGGTACCATCGATGTGCCGTTGGTGTCTTTAATCTTAGCGCTTATCAGACCCCCTCTCAATTAGCTAAATGAGAAATGGTGAACATAGGAGATTCAATTGCAAGGTTGCTATTTATTTCTGAGTCTGAACTCATCATATGCCCACTGAGCATTCAACGTACTCTTCTTGACGACCTTTTCCTTGTGAAGTAGTAGATAATACAGGAATGAGACCTTCTATCTTGATCTCACCATCAGCAATGTCTGAGAGTGATTCAAAAAGTTCTTCTGAGAAGAACGAAGAATGAAGAATTTTGTTAGGTTGTATAATACCAATGCATTGCTCAATTTTTTAGTTGCGAATTCATAACTTTGTTTTTTGCGTGACGGATAAATTACCACAGACCTATAAGCTCAGCTTGTAATTTGGAAGAAAGCCTGCAACATTCCAAGCTTGTGAGGCGGTCGGGCGTTATGAATCGAGGCGATTAGCTCTGAGTATAGCTCGGTCAAATGGCTATGTGGTATTACATGATACTGGTAGATCCAACCTTGACAACACCACCGTTGAAGCAAACTTCTTCTATGCTAGAATCTACGATAGGCAGTGCCTGACATAGAGTTGCATTACATGTCCAAATGGTAAAGATGGATTGCGCTTCATCAGATTCAGTGCGAGCCATGTAATTCAATGCGATTCTACAAGCACAATTAAAATTTAGTGTGAGACATGTAATTCAACATACCTAGGGGAAGCTGGAAGAGTTTTATCAATGCCAATCAATGCAGACTCCGTTGGGAAAACATACAATAGAACAGCATGATGGCAATGATTTTAACTTCAGGTGTACGATATTGGCTCACGAGACGGAGATTTCGTCGAGAAAAGCGTTGGAAGCGTTCTGGATTTCAGCTAGAAATCCAGATATGAACAACCGAAATGAGGGTGTGTCAATCACAAATGATCTCTTGCCATTTATGCAACACTGCGAGTTACTTCCATAGTTCGCGAACGTGTTTTGTCTGCAATATTAAAATTGCATAAGGACAACAGAGTAAGGTTTTCGCTACTAATGTAGACTGTGTTAGCACCGTGCTACACTTCGCGGTGGTGAAAAAGGTGAGCTTATCTTCTCGAATTTTGGGTGTTTTCCGAGCGTTCCTAACAGAACGTCAGAAACGCTAGAGCGGAGGAGGCGTTTGGTGGGATAGTGCGCAATTCGTAGCCCATTTTCAGGCCTTCAAAAAGGAACAGCCCGTCGAAACGTTGGCTAGAGTAAATTTTAGCACCTAACAACCTCGACGCAGAAGTAAAAAAGTAGCACGACTTCTGTAACATTCTTTTTTCAGTTATCCCTTTCCTAGAATTCATATGTATTTTTGAATGTGAAGTGATAGATATTTACAAGGCTCCCATTCAGTTGGTATACAGAGGCGCCCCAATTGTAAGTTCAAAGCACCGAAAAGGTTTAGCTACTGTCAACAAATTTTCCGAATCATTGTTCTCGAAAACATCTGCAACTCATTAACAGGAACTTTATATGAAACTTTATAATCATTATTATGGGGTGTTCCAATTGTAGCTAGGCTGTTCAGCTTTGGAAATTGCCTTCAGAGGTTGCACCTTCCTTTTTGCTACTGGAAGAATTTCCAGTAAAGCTCAGCAAAAATTTAACACTTGTATTATTGCTGCAGTATGGTTTACGTGGTAAGCTCTAGAGGTTGTTGAAAGCTCACGTAGATGATGTTCACATGTCGCAATGATTCCCACCCATCAAATGAAAGCTGATTTGCTAGCTTCTTCGTCACCCAGTGTATGAATACGTCGAAAACCAAATTGTTTTATACTATGTATTGAACAACCATTTTCATTGCACAATAACTCGACGATCAACCATATGTTCATTCTCAACTTGATTTGCAGCAGCCTAAGTTCTGAAGAAGAGAACGGAAAAAGCTATATGAACATGGTAACAGATAGTGAACACAGATGGTGAGTTCGCAATTGGTCAAGCCTTGTGAACACAAAATCGAAATAAAATTGCTTAAGGATTCTTTTCTCGACCTAACATTAACTCCTGGCTACTTTCTGACCTCCCATCCACTTCACGCCTAACAACAGAGTCTCAATTTAATAGCTCTCGGAACCAAATCATTAGATGATACAACATCTTTTTTATAAGGGTGCTCTACGATTCGATAAATTACTCGGAAAACATTTTCGACTGCCCTCAAAAGGATGGTTTCGAGCCTTTGCGGGAGATTATTGGCATCGTTTTGTTTTTCTGATTTTCAGTTCTTTGTAATCTATTCTAACTTCATCATGTCAATTTTTTCATTATTTCAAGCGGTTGTCTTCTGGGAGTGACGTTGTTTTCACTCTCGTATTGTCTGGATCGTTTATTATTGCTGTTGTCTTTTCTTCGACACGAATTGAACGCGAACTTTGGTGTCTGAAAATAGATATGCGAGCGAACTGTTGTAGTTTTGCATCAAGGTTTGCTCTATCCCCAGGTCACCGAAATTAGCGCTGCTCGTCAACTTTATTCCCGACGTAGACTGATTCGAATGGTCTTCTTAGTTACCAGTGAACCTTCTCCAATGTTGACGTCAATATCGTTTTCAATAGCCGAAATGGTTTATTTTTATCGTTGTGCACAATGGCTAATAAAGTTCAAAGCGATTTCTAGAATATTACATAAGTGTAACCTAACAAAGCAACAAAAAAGCATTTCGCACGAAAATAATTGACACTGAAATAATACAAGCAATAATACAAGCAATAATATAACTGGAACTGATTCATAATCATAGTTGAATTATTTGTTCGGTTCATTCTAGCCGGTACGATAATTATTGATTATTCAGCCAGCCCTCTCTGAGTCAATCACAGCCGTTGCTTTCATCTTCTTCCCAAATTTGTCCCATTTCAAGAACAACGAAATTTGAAGAGTGGTTGGAACTCGCAATTTCTTCCAGGAGCTTTTTTGGTTCGAGATAGAGCTAAAACAACAAGACTTGAAGTGGAAGCTTCTGTTTAAGATGGGAAGGTGAGAAATGTTTTCCTTCGTAATAACTTGTCAAATATTTGAAAGTTTTGTTTTCGAGGAGTACAGGGTGGCGAAAAATTACGTGCGCCACGAAAAATATCCTGACTTTATTTTTTGTTCAAACAAGAAAGACAACACTGTTGTGACTCTGCTTCCAGAGCACCAGAGCTTTCTTGAAGACCTCTTCATGATATATCTTCGCATTGATTTCCATGATTTTATCGATAAAAATCAATGGAGGGTTGCCCAAAGCACTGATACTGCTCCAAATCATCAAACTTTCAGCGAACGGAATTCTTGCAGGTATTTCTCCAATTACAAATGTTCCCAAGAATTGAGCAAAAAGGTTGATGGTGATTAGTAGATTTTAGCTGCTTGAATTGGAGAATCTATTTCGTCAAACCAGACGGTCTCCAGTTTCGCCGCTCTATCGACTCGATGTCGAAACTAATTTTTTTAAAAAATCAAAACTGGCAGTGGCCACTTTGATACTTTTATTTAGAATTAATAAATCAACTCCCTCGATTTCGGAACGAAAAGAAGCTGGTACCTTCTATAGGCGCACTCTAATTTTTCGCACTCTGTATAAGAAACGAACCCTAACCAGATAGTTTAATGGGGAAAGCATATTCTCTCAACAAGTAAAGCAAGTAAAGGAAATCTAATAGTGGAAAGGGAGAGCGAATAATCTAGTGCTAACTCTGTGCAATCATGCTGTGTCGTAAGGTAGTAAGCTCTCTTTAAAACACAATCTCCTGCCCGTATCGGAGCAAATTGCATAATCAAATATTCTGTAGATCCAACCAGTCATACACACATCAACCCGCACTCCTCTCCTTAAAGGAGGAAAATTATGCGGATTAGCGACTTTCCAATTCTCTAATCATTTTCAAACGCACCTGTACATCACAATCAAAGACGCGCTTCACACCAATCTCATCGTGAAACTCCTTAACACGTTGACGACATCGCGCGTTTTGGCATTTTTGGCCGCGTGGGACCAGAGCGGTTCTGCGAGCGCCGCCGCCTCACAACAAATCTGTGGATTTTGAGCTTTAAATACGCAATACTTCGATGCGACAAAATGTTTTCACTGATATTCGGTGTGTCAAACTTATTGGAAGGTACACATGTGAAAGTGCGGTCGAATGATGTGTTACAGCATTGAAAAGGCAAGTTTCACTTACTTTTGCTTTAGTGATTTCAAAATTATTTTGGACGTGGTTGTTTCGGTAAAAACACATATCTTGCCACACGAGTAGCTTTGTACTCACTTCTAATATTCTTTTTTATCTACATGTTCGTGTTAATGAAGAGAAAATGAGGAATGAACTGAACGGATATTTTCGTCCGGTCCGAAAAACCTCTGCCAAACTAAAGAATATTTGGTCATTCTATAAGCCGCGTGGTTCTTGGTTATGTTGTGGTATGGCCTAAAAATGAACACAAAAAACCTGGGAAGAAATGGCGCGTTCAAGAATGTAAACCCGGTTGAACATAGTTCCCACAATGCATTGCGGCTGCAAAAACGCGGCAAACCTGTGCCGCCTGGCTCTCAAGGTGTTACAGAAGGCACGACGGGCAGGCATAAGTTATTTTACAGCGCTTCAATTTGCGTCTATACACAGAAAACGTTGTTTGATTTACTCTCCAAAGGTTCTCAAAGGCAAGCCCTGAGTAGGTGCCGTCAAGGATGACGTCCGTGATTTCCTTCACATTGAATCTCGAGTTACCTACGTCAGAAACTTTGGAGCCAATACTGCATTGCGCCTTCGTTGGTTCATCCTTGGTCCCATGCTGCAATACTATTCCAAGCTGTCCGCACAACGCCTCCTCCAAAATTCAACTCATGGGAACAAATTTGCTCAAACCATTGCTTCGACCCCTTCGACTACAACCTTCGAAAAAGAACTAGAAGGGCGAGTTATTTCGAAATGGAATAGCAGCTTAAGAAAGACAATAAAATGGGCTCGCTAGAGATTTGTAGCAATATCACCTACAGCATTCAAGAGAAAATTCCCTCAGAAAATATCTAATAAATTATAATTATGACACATCGAAACCTACTTTCTGGAGAGCATAATATTATAATAACATACTTAACATGTAATATGTGCATGTACATATGATGTAATAGCACTTACTTCATGCGATCCCATGTGATATGTGCCCCAATGTATACCAATTGAGAATTTCGATTTAACAAGTTCGTGCACGAGCACGGCTTCATGAGGATCGATATGCTCTGATTTCAGCATCCATCTAAAATTGGGGTAGTTTTAATAGCATGAAAGGGAAGATTCGCACAGCAGCTGTTAGAGTTTAGCGGAACATGTTACAAATGGGTAAGGCAATCGAATATCGGATGTAATCTTGCTCAAGGTCAATTAAATTGTTGATTTATTTCTTCTCATAGTGACATACCGTGGGTTGTATGCACCAATGGGAATTGCTGCGAGATCGAAGGGGCCGAGCCGTTCACCAATCTTCTTGAATTCCTTGTCACAAAATCCAGTGTCACCGCTGTAGTAGAAACGACGACTTCGTGTTATTACAGCCCATCCTGCCCACAATCGCTTAATGAGGAACTTGATCAAATGCTAGCTATCGTAGCTGTGTGTAGCACACCCATTTAACAACGAAACGAATTCAGGAATCTTATTTAGGCATTATTCCTTTATAATTTTTACGTTCTTTACTTATAATGGTGGAATAAAAGATAATCAATGTTATCTAGACATTTTAATAGCAAAATTCCACACAGGTTGGTAATTTCGAATTGAAAGGTAGATCACTCTGAATAACATATTTTGCAATGTCACTGACCCCTTAATCTACATAAAGTGGAAGGATTCATTTTTTAGACCTAATTGGAAAGATTTATGGGGACCCCACTGCACTGCTTCAAGATACTCTCGAGCGTAGTTGTGAGCGTCATTCAGCGTGGCAGCATCCATCTTGACTCTCAGAATTGGGTCTAAAGACTCAGAAAGTTTTCCATAAAAGTTTATGGCTGACCTCATTTCTGTCGAATGGTCCTCGTTGTCCCCAATGTTGCGCTGGCAGACACCAGACTGTCAATTCCATGTCATTTAAGCGGAATGATGCGCTTTCTCCCCTGTTAGCATCGGGCGGGTTACATACGAGTGAAACAAGGCTAAGGTATAGTTTAGCTCACCATTCTAGTTCAGTAACCTTGTCCGGGTTTGCATCGGTGTTTTCGATTCCTACTGTTTTCATCCACTCCAGGATGCCGAGAGGTACGAACCATCGCATAGATGGATTTAAAGCTCCAAAGAAATCATTCGTGATTCGTGCACCACTATGCATCATTAATCTGTTTGATTGAATTATAAGTAATGAAGATTTTTTCAAACATTTTGTCATTCACTTTCAACAACTCGTATTGTATGCCCGCTGATCGATAGCCGCTTTCATAAATGGGCTGTGTGGCATATAACGAAACAGAATCATCTGTTTCCTCTTTAACACAATGACACATCCGCCCGTATCGATCTCTATTTGTCCACATGTGAAAAACTGCATTACTGGAGTGCATGAACTGGAGATGCACACGGGCTGGCATTGAACCTCTCCCTTTCAAAGCATATTCACCTCCTGGAACGGACACGAGTGGTGTATGACAAATCTTGTTGTCCAGAAATAGTAATTTCAAAGGTCTCGGCAAGGTTCGATTGGATGGATATGAGAAGAGCTTAGTTTGTGTAGGCTGAAAATTGGACGCTTCACTGGATGGACGCAGCTCAACAGTTCAAGTGAGCTCCGAAGCGATTCCTAGACCCAAACAAATACTGCACTCATTGAAGTACATGGCTCCACACCCAAACGATGACACCACTACTAGCACAGACATCTACGCTTCCAGCTGCGTAGGCTTGATGCGGACCTCGTAGTCTGCAGCTTACAGTAGACGAATTTGATCACTCGGTCAAAATTCACGATCACATGCCGTGAAGGACCGAAGGCAGAAATTTGACCTTTACCAGGACGCGGTATATCACTTAGCACAATCGTGGAAATTGAAATCGCGGATACTATGGAAGGCCGTCTATGCGCTGTTTATTAGGCCTGAGCAGTCGCTGAATGTATTATCTTTCTCTTTGTTTTTGTGTTATCACCAAGGATGGAAAGCATTAATGAGTTTGTTGTGCCACTGAGCCTTGTAGCCCACAAAAAAGTTAAACAACTGAACGGTAAAATTAGATGATGAATAAGGTTGATCCTAGAATTAAAGCAGGTTCCTCAGAAGTGAGGACGATACTTGGCCTCTTGGCGGCGAAGCGCACACCCGTAGTGACATAAGAAGGCTTTATCTCTGGCTAAGTCGCCTTCCTAGAAGGTCTCATCTCAAATCAAATGCGCAGCCGTCTTCACGTTCTAGCCATTAGTCACCGTACCATCTGCTTTTTGTTGCGTATCGGAATATTAGGTTGTCCCATAATTAGTGAATCACTTTACATTTATTGTTATTAAAAATCCAAGAAAAATGGTGAAGGCATGAAACATGTTTTGCGAAGTAGCATCCACATTATCCTACCTGAGCGATTACTCGGCCCATGTACATGCTGCCTTTCCGTGGCTGATACTTCAATTTTCCTGGAACCTATTTTTGAGCTCCCCTCTTAACCACTTCTGATTAGGATCTTTCAAACGCCCAACAACATAGAGTGAATTCAACAGACGCGATAGGCTCGCGAGGGCACGCTCCTCAATCCGCGCGTCTACTTGTAATTCACTCTATCGAGAGGTTGGCTTTTTGAGTTGAAGATGACCCACACTCCAACTACCCCTCAAGTGGCAATCTCACTGCTGTACCCAGCGCCACTGAGGGTGGATCTGGACAAACTTGTCACCATTTGATGGAGCATGTCCGGCTTATTAAACTGATGGAATGTAGACATCTACGTAGAGTTGTAAAGATTTTAAAATATTTAGTTTGTATCTTGTATGCTGTGAGCCCGAAACAGCTCCACACACGATCTGACATCATCATGTTCCTTCTGATCTCTCTTAGTTCCTTACAGTGATCATCCGGCATATGCATCAGGGTTCTGGACTGGGTGGAGTGTACTAGCAAATCTCAAACAAGCAGCAGCTTAGCATGAAGGGTTCGGGGGAGTTCTGACAGCAAAAACCGAACCCCCTTTGAGTCCGACTCTTCCGAGATATTGTATGAGCACGAGAGTGACCTTACGCTGGGAACCGCCGCCCACTAATACTAGAGTCACCGAAGAAGATCAGCATCTACAGCGCAATGGCGACGCGTTCAATTTGAAAGTAAAGCAAGACAAAGTCTGCTTTTTCCTGAGGTCGTCCGACCCCACCTTGCGGAGAATATTCATAAAAAATTGGAGACTTCCGGGCTAGCACTTCTTTCACCTCCTATATGTGGCCCTATCCTCGTGTCAACAAAATACAACTCAGTCTGACCTCTAGCGCTCTTCTCCAGGAAGAAACTTTACGCTAAGTGACATGACCTCAAACTCGACTTCCGATCTTTCTTCGATCAATAGCTCCTGGAATTCTAGAGATAAGACAGCAAATAAATTTCCTTGTTTAGGCAATACATTGTAGATGACAGAGATGTATGTTTGGATGAGCAAAGACTCCACATAAAAAAGAAAAAAAATTGAATTCAAAAATACCCAAAGTGATTCACTAATTATGGGACAACCTAATAATTACGTATAACAGAAACCACTAGCCCACGTGCCAATCGTTATCGCAGCCTGATTCCCGGTTACGAAATAGACCCATGGACAATATTAGGTTGTCTCATAAATAGTGTCGCTTTTTTTCAACCAAAAATTTTCATCCAAATCCTCATGCTTTTACATCGAATCATATACCATTCGAAAGAGAATTGTCTGCTCTACAAAATATCGTGTTCTTCTTCCATCTATGTTCCATGGTTTTCAAATTTTAAGCCTGTGAAATGGGAGGTCCCGCCGACAAAAATTGACCAAACCGACAACTAGCTCTAACTTTATGTTCCCTTCGGAGAAATCAATCAATGATGTACCCTCTACTTACTCATGACCTCTTCTGAACATTCCACCCTTAGGTTGCCGAAAAAGGTTTGCCCTGTTTCTTTTCGAATTGGCCAACCGATAGGTCATGGCAATTTTCAAATTGAAATTCTTCCTCTGAAACGCTATTGTTTTATATCAACTGGTTTATCTTTTGTGAGCACTTCTTCTGCTTTATTCGCTCATTTGTTTTGTTTTGATGTTTGTTAGGAATTAGCTCGAATTTTAGGGTTTAGGAGTAAGGTGCTTTGTCCACAAAAGTGACCGCATTTCTTTGAAAGAAATTATCCTTGAGGAGATGAGAAAACCAACCAGGCGTACATTCCTAACTTAGTCACGACTTGTTCTTGAAATTCTACTAGTTTTTCAATGTCTCGGCTGTAAAAAAATTTCGACCTCGATCTCAGGTAATGGTGCTCAACCGTCGAGTTCTGGTTGAAAAACCGGGTCTGGAAATGGAATGATGCGACTTGTTGGGAAACCTAATAGTGTAATGTTTAGAAGAGGTCATGCATAAGTAGAGGGTACATCATTGATTGATTTCTCCGAAGGGGAACATAAAGTTAGAGCTAGTTGTCGGTTTGGTCAATTTTTGTCGGCGGGACCTCCCATTTCGCATGCCTCAAATTTGAAAACCATTGAACATAGATGGAAGAAGAACACGGATACTTTGTAGAGCAGACAATTCTCTTT